AACACATTGTCTAGTCCTCTCTACATTAATACATGTCCAGTCTCTACAACAACACATTGTCTAGTCCTCTCTACATTAATACATGTCCAGTCTCTACAACAACACATTGTCTAGTCCTCTCTACATTAATACATGTCCAGTCTCTACCACAACACATTGTCTAGTCCTCTCTACATTAATACATGTCCAGTCTCTACAACAACACATTGTCTGGTCCTTTACAACAACACATTTTCTGGTCCTCTACAACAACACATTGTCTAGTCCTCTACAACAACACAATGTCTGGTCCTCTACAACAACACATTGTCTGGTCCTTTACAACAACACATTTTCTGGTCCTCTACAACAACACATTGTCTGGTCCTTTACAACAACACATTTTCTGGTCCTCTACAACAACACATTGTCTAGTCCTCTACTTCAACAACACATTGCATAGGAGCTCTCTTCCACGACAACTCACTGCATAGTCCTCTTCTACAACAACATATATTCTAGTCTTCTTCTACAACAGCACAATGCCTAATCATCTTCCAAGGCGACACGATATCTAGTATCTACAACAATACATTGTCTAGTCCTCTCTACATTAATACATGTCCAGTCTCTACAACAACACATTGTCTAGTATCTACAACAATACATTGTCTTGTCCTCTCTACATTAATACATGTCCAGCCTCTACAACAACACATTGTCTAGTCCTCTCTACATTAATACATGTCCAGTCTCTACAACAACACATTGTCTAGTCCTCTCTACATTAATACATGTCCAGTCCCTACAACAATACATTGTCTGGTCCTCTACAACAATACATTGTCTAGTCCTCTCTACATTAATACATGTCCAGTCTCTACAACAACACATTGTCTAGTCCTCTCTACATTAATACATGTCCAGTCCCTACCACAACACATTGTCTAGTCCTCTCTACATTAATACATGTCCAGTCCCTACAACAACACATTGTCTGGTCCTCTACAACAACACATTGTCTGGTCCTTTACAACAACACATTGTCTGGTCCTCTACAACAACACATTGTCTAGTCCTCTACAACAACACAATGTCTTGTCCTTTACAACAACACAATGTCTAGTCCTCTACAACACTACATTGTCAGGTCCTTTACAACAACAAATTGTCTAGTCCTCTACAACAATACATTGTCTAGTCCTCTACAACAACACATTGTCTGGTCCTCTACAACAACACAATGTTTAGTTCTCTACAACAACACATTGTCTAGTCCTCTACAACAACACATTGTCTAGTCCTCTACAACAATACATTGTCTAGTCCTCTACAACAACACAATGTCTGGTCCTCTACAACAACACATTGTCTACTCCTCTACAACAACACATTGTCTACTCCTCTACAACAATACATTGTCTACTCCTTTACAACAATACATTGTCTAGTCCTCTACAACAACACATCGTCTACATTAATACATGTCCAGCCTCTACAACAACACATTGTCTAGTCCTCTCTACATACAACAACAACACATTGTCTAGTCCTCTACAACAATACATTGTCTAGTCCTCTCTACATTAATACATTGTCTAGTCCTCTACAACAACACATTTTCTAGTCCTCTACAATACATTGTCTAGTCCTCTACAACAACACATTGTCTACTCCTCTACAACAACACATTGTCTAGTCCTCTACAACAATACATTGTCTGGTCCTCTACAACAATACATTGTCTAGTCCTCTACAACAACACATTGTCTGGTCCTCTACAACAACACATTGTCTACTCCTCTACAACAACACATTTTCTAGTCCTCTACAACAATACATTGTCTAGTCCTCTACAACAACACATTGTCTACTCCTTTACAACAACACATTGCCTAGTCCTCTACAACAACACATTGTCTGTCTACTCCTCTACAACAACACATTGTCTAGTCCTCTACAACAACACATTTCTCCTCTACAACAATACATTGTCCTCTACAACAACACATTGTCTAGTCCTCTACAACAACACATTGTCTACACAACAACACATTGTCTAGTCCTCTACAACAATACATTGTCTAGTCCTCTACAACAACACATTGTCTGGTCCTCTACAACAACACATTGTCTACTCCTCTACAACAACACATTGTCTACTCCTCTACAACAACACATTTTCTAGTCCTCTACAATACATTGTCTACTCCTTTACAACAACACATTGCCTAGTCCTCTACAACAACACATTGTCTGGTCCTCTACAACAACACATTGTCTAGTCCTCTACAACAACACATTTTCTAGTCCTCTACAATACATTGTCTAGTCCTCTACAACAACACATTGTCTACACCTCTACAACAACACATTGTCTGGTCCTTTACAACAATACATTGTCTAGTCCTCTACAACAACACATTGTCTGGTCCTCTACAACAACACAGTTTCTAGTCCTCTACAATACATTGTCTACTCCTTTACAACAACACATTGTCTAGTCCTCTACTACAATACATTGTCTAGTCCTCTACAACAACACATTTTCTAGTCCTCTACAATACATTGTCTACTCCTTTACAACAACACATTGTCTACTCCTCTTCCACACATTGTCTACTCCTTTGCAACAATACATTGTCTAGTCCTCTACAACAACACATTGTGTACTCCTCTACAACAACACATTTTCTAGTCCTCTACAACAATACATTGTCTGGTCCTTTACAACAACACATTGTCTAGTCCTCTACAACAACACATTGTCTGGTCCTTTACAACAATACATTGTCTAGTCCTCTACAACAACACATTGTGTACTCCTCTACAACAACACATTTTCTAGTCCTCTACAACAATACATTGTCTGGTCCTTTACAACAACACATTGTCTAGTCCTCTACAACAATACATTGTCTGATCGTTTACAACAATACATTGTCTGGTCGTTTACAACAATACATTGTCTAGTCCTCTACAACAACACTTTGTATGTTATTTATAAGCACAACCTCTACATGTCCTCAACAGCCAAACTTTATAAGTACATTTATGTACATACCTAGTGTTCTTATTCTAATTGTCTGTATCCTATTTCACCTTTAAGCTCCAATTTGTCTGCTCTCACAAGGTCAGAAAAACCAATTATATAAGTATTCTTCGTTCTAGAATATTTTGTACTGGTCATTCTAACAGAAGAAAGATTTCTTACAATTAACCTTGTTTCCTATGTTAAGCCCTGCCCCGCCTATCCTTGATGCACCAAGTGACACTGTTTACAAAACATTGATCTCTCCTTCACTCTAGGACGTTTCATACCAAATTGTTATGGAAACCCGTCCTTCCTACAGAAGAAGGACTTTGATGTATTACTCTATATCCCCTATTTGGCCCGTCACATCAGTTAGAGACGCACCATTTATACAAAATTGTTTTCCTTTTACTTAAGAATGTTTTGAACCAAATTGGGTCTGAATCCGGATATTCCCAAGGAAGGCTTTTTTAAGAATTTGCTGAACTTCCTCTCTCTTTTCCTACCATTTTATAGAAATTGAGTCCCTTCTTCTTAAAACAATTGTTGACTGACAAAGGACAGCATGGTGCAGCATAAGGTAATCTTGATACTTTGAACCAGGTGATTTAACGTGTTGTCATAATTTGATAAGGTTTAATTTTGAAAATAATACAGAGTTTAACAAGACCAATGGGTATTTTCTTGTATCATTACTGTCTTCCTGTTTTGATTCTCAGCAAGATTTTATATGGTTATCAGGTGGGTAACACAACAATATGACCCAGAAATAATGTCCCTTGAGGCATGCCGCACCCATAAGTCAATTCTTACACAACAAATGTGTTTATCTCTTCATGCCCAGCAATTCTATATATATGTGTGTATGGGAAGGGAATTTCAATTGTTTTAAAGATATTACCATGTAACCGAGTCCCTCCAGGGTCTAGTCTTCACATCATTATTGTATATATCTCTTGATCCCCAACATTGCTGTATAAATATGGTTACAGGGTGGGGACCTCAACAGTTTTGAAGATATAACAAGAGGCCCAGTATTGTTCACTTGGATATTTCAGTCAATAATGAAAAACTTTACATTTTTTCAGAAGGAAAATATTTCCCCTGATGAGTCTCACCCCATGGATACAGCTTCAAATTCCTTAGGGTTGGGGACAGACATCAGTTGTTAATTTCTTGATGTCCGGCAATGCTATTATGTTATGGGATGATGACCTCAATGGCTTTAAATCTTACATCAAAATTGTGTTTATCTCCTTATGCCCAGCAATGCTATTTATGATTATGTAGTGGGGATCTAAACTGTTTTCAAACACATTTCTCCTATTGAGCCCCTCCCCTTCTGTCCTAGGGGGCCCGAGATCCACCATTTTTAAAAATTGATTCCCCTTCACCAAAACATAATTCACATCAAATTTGGACAAAGTCCAATCATTCCTACAGTAAGAGTAGGATTTCCCGGAATTTGCCGTATTTCCCCTATTGGATCCTGCCCCTCCAGCTCCATGGAGCCAGATCTCTTTACCTAAAGATGCTTCAGAAAAAATTTGGGTAAAATGCAATCATTTCTATAGGAGTAGGATTTTAAAGAACTTACATAATTTCCCCTATTGGGCCCCGCCCCTCAGACCATGGAAGCTATTTATGCAAAATGTTTCTATTTCCCTCAAAATCCCCTGTCGTAATGACTAGTAGTGTTTTGTAGAAAAAGTTGACAGACGGATGCTGCATTATCCCTATAGCTCACTTGGTCCTTCGAGCCAGGTGAGCTAAAAATTTAACTCTCGCTTGGTCCTTTGAGTCAGGTGAGCTAAAAATTTAACTCTCGCTTGGTCCTTTGAGTCAGGTGAGCTAAAAATTTAACTCTCGCTTGGTCCTTTGAGTCAGGTGAGCTAAACATTTAACTCTCGCTTGGCCCTTCCAGTCAGGTGAGCTAAAAATTTAACTCCATGAAAATTCTGGAACAACAAAAGCAAGGAACAACATATTATGAAAATTTATGTCTTTATAACAAATATAACAATTACATGGTACAGTGAAATACTTTCTTTGACAACTTCAAAACTATTGGGGCTAAATACAAAATGGTTTACGCATGTAGTCATGATGGGAGTCTATCACAATAGGTACACACAAGTAAGCCATCCTAACGCAATTTATCTCAATAATCTTCTGAACTGAAATACACAGTATTTACCATGTAAATACCAGTATAACCAAACATCTACAACTTCTCAAACACCTCTCTCAGCATTGTACAGCCCAGATATTGGTTTCCAAAGTTTCAGTGTACTGTTTCATGTTGAACTTTATTTATATGTAAACCATACTTAAGTTTCAATGCTGAATGTTTTCATAAAAACTTGATATCTTTTTGTAAAATTAAGTGAAATCAACTGAATAATGCATGTGAACAAAATTTTGTACGATAAATACTGTATCAATTAAATTTAATGCTTATGTGGTCAGTCCTATAATAAACCTTGATTGCTGAGAGTCTATTGACTTTTGACGAGGTTCACAATGATATACCATGCATTATGAAAAATTCTTTACAAGTTGTTTGTAGATTGACATCTGTTTTCTAACCAGACACTTGTTCTGTACTAGCCTAAATACAAGCACTAGAGTTAAGTGTACAATCATCATTATCATTCTGTACAAGCTATACATAGATACAAGAACACCCAACAGAATACACAATGATTAAACATGATTTCTACGATGAACACCATCACCTCTTGTCCTGTTCAAAATTGTTCCATTCATTGTACAATAACAATGCTTTATGTCTCATTATATACACATTTTATATTATCACATATTTTACTCTTTTGCACTTTTCTCTCCAACTCCACTCATGTATTATACTATCAAATTCAACTCTACACATTTTTTTCTCTTTCGACTCTTATACTTTTCTCTCAAACTCCACTCAAGTATTTTTCAGACTCTTGTCCCTTGTCTTCCTCAGCCTCTTTGCCTCTCTCACTGGAGTGTTTTCACCATGCCTGGCCAACACTCCATGTTGTGTTATAAATGTTTACCCACAGATGAAGTGTTTGAGTGAGCAACCTGACTGGAAGAGGGGATCAAATTACAAGAGTCCAGAACACAGTAGCTACTACTAGTAGTAAGAGATTCAGAAATATCACCGAAGCTCACAGATTGTGTGAACTGAGCATCGGATATCACAGTGCAGTTCATAGATTGTGTTGATGAAACTCCGTCAAAGCTGTGTGGTGGAGTTAGAGAGTCTAAAGAAGTGGTGGGAAGAATCTGATAAAGATCTGGTAAATTATAGTCCTGTACATCAACCTGTTTAGCTAGACTGTCAAGAAGACTGTCGGACAGCATGTGGTCTATGGTGAGTTGACTAGATATAGAATTCTCACTTTCGGCCATGATACTATCCACAATGATGGTAGAGGTGTCAAGCTGCTCATCAGATTGATGCAAGGAAGTCCACAAATCCATACTATCATCTGTGCTGGCCTCGTGGGCTGGCAGGATGGGAGAGTGGGGGACCACAGAAGGGCCAGGGGATACTGCAGGACTTGAAACTGATGCTGGTATCTGTGGTGATGTTGGGCTTGGTGGTGCAGGAAAGGGGAATGCCTGGGTATTAGATAATGCCTCCTCTTGCAGACATTCTGGTTTGGTCATGATGCTGGTCTTTTTACACAGTGATGTCAACGAATCAAGCATTCCTAAACAAAACGATACATGTCAGTTAAAAAAAACAGCGACTGAATTCTAAAATTTCAACAAAAGATGATCAGCAATAGATAAATTGGCATTAAAACTCAATATATGAAATATCAATCAAATACAACTAGTTAAGAGACTTGTGTAACATTTCCATGACTTCTGTGGCTATACTGACCTGGACGGAGACTTGTGAGAGACAAGTGATCAGCTGCCCACTGCAGCACTGATTTGACCAGGTTATCTCTTGTGGCTGAGGCTGTCAGACATTTGTATGCCTTGTACATTGGATTCATCAGGAAGCTGAACTAAGTCTACTTAAGGAAAGCAAAAGTTTAATGGAAATGTCCATCCCCTTCTGGTCACATCAAATATTTTAGAATATTATCCATCCTCTCCCAACTTTATATAAGTGCTGAATTCATGCACATTTCATTTTTACCATCAGAAATAAAATCATACATCTGAAATTGTGTTGGTTTATTTCTACCCTCAAATATTTCAAATTGTGGAAAAATGTCTAAATATAAACAATGAACAGCAAAACAAAAGATTATGTAGAATGATTTACCGTCATGTATCTGATAAGGAGGTGGGGAATGATTTACCGTCATGTATCTGATAAAGATGTGGGGAATGATTTACCGTCATATATCAGATAAAGATGTGTGGAATGATGAAAAATGATCAACACCACAGTGGAATCGAAAATTGTTTGGGATGGGGAGTTCTTAAATAAAGTTTTCAAATTTTAAGATAAAAAGGTTGGGAAGTAGTAAAAAAAGTTATTGTCCCCTCACCCTACCCACTGCTGATTCCTTTATCGTGTTTAGACAAGAACAAATGTTTTAGCATCCACTCTTTTGTTTCACCTAGACAAGAGTGAATACCATTTAGCATCCACTCTTTTGTTTCACCTAGACAAGAGTGAATACCATTTAGCATCCACTCTTTTGTTTCACCTAGACAAGAGTGAATACCATTTAGCATCCACTCTTTTGTTTCACCTAGACAAGAGTGCATTTAGGGTCTGCTCCTTTGTTTACCAATAAAAAAGAGTACATACTTTATAGCATCTGCTCCTATGTCACGACTAGACAAGTTATCATCAGTAGCCTCTGCTTTTTGTTGCAGCTAGGTTGCTCCTATACATGACAGGGTTCTCACACCCCATTATGGGACTGGGGCCCGGGGCCCTTAGAATTGGGAAAACTTGGGGTCTGAATTGGGAAAAGATACTATTTTTGCATTGGGATTCGGCCCCAAATCTGGCAGATCGAGAGCCCTTCATGAATAAATATCTTGCAGAAAATTGATTTCACTTAGACATCTGGAGTAATTTTCTACATAGCAAGTCCTCAAAGGCATTCTCTTCTCCTGTAGAATTGTGTGACTTAAAGCAAGGATACAATCCAAAATTTCCAATTATTTGAGGTACGTTCACGGACGTAGTCTGCATACAGCTTGTCAAGATCATACTGAGACTTGTCCTGGCTCTTTATTCCAGATGCAGGCAGTTGACTCTGCAGCATACTACAAAACAATGATAGTAAATGTTTTACATTTGAACAATTCCAATATATCCTTTAACATGTTTACAAATATTCTGTACGGTGTACCCTGATGACAATAATACTAGCCTCAAAACTTTCAGTCAATTTCTACAAAACCTTCTTATCCCTGACTGCAATAATTTTTGAGCAATTTGTACAGAATATTCACTAGTAGAAGAAGTGATTCCTCATCTTTTCCCATAGTTGTTTACATGAAAATTTTAGTTTTGTACTTATCTCAAATCCATTGTATACTGTACATAAAGTACATATGTATTCCAAACAATATGGCAGATGAGGAATCATTAAGGTAGAGAGTTACCAAAGTGTTGGATATGTGGACTGACAGGCAAAACTGTGGTAGGGTTTCCATAAAACTACAAAGCTTCAAAGCAAAACAGATATATATATATATATACAAGCCATATCTCTAGAGCAAGAATTTGCCCATTAAACAAACATTTTGAAAGGATATATCTTTATTCTGAAAAGAAGATGGAAATATGAAATGCCAATGCTTAATTAATGATTGAATTACAAATTATAATATACAAAATACCTATTAAAAAGAAACAAATATTAACACATATAAATTACCACACTTGTTTCCAGAAGAATCTGCAAGTAAATCAGAAAGATTAATCAAGAAAAGCATGTGCAAAAACTAGACCTACATATCAGAAACATACCACAGTTTGAGAATACTAATATTGCCTGTCAGCCCTTCAAATCAAACTGAAAATAAATTAACTTATCATTAAATAGCATGCATGCCATTACTTAAATGCAAAATATAAATGAGCACCTGAATTTGAATTCAAACTTTAAAAGTGAATATTAATACTTCATCCAATCAAATCCAACACTTTGATAGGATTCGCCTGAAAGTGACAAGAAATTGACAAAATATTAATCAACAATTAAGAGTACACTATAGAAGTTACATAACTAGAGAACTGACGACTTATGGCTAACAACAAACTTTACACGTTATTGATAAAGTTTCAGGACTTACTGAATGTCAGACCCCAAGGCTTGTATTTCTTGCCGAAGGACACTGATCTCGTCTTGTCGAGCCTTAGACTCGGCCTTACCCTGGCAGCAATGCACGGCAGCTACAATATGGAGATGTGTCAGAAATTTGGGTGAGGGCACCCCCCACACAATCAGGGGGGCGTCGACCTATAGCTAGACTAATAAACAACACATACAGTTCTCTTTCCACAAGTCAACACAGCACTTATGCCATTCTGCAGGGCAAAAACCTTGTCATAAATGACAATTTGTCAGAGATCTCTCCCATCCTTGATATGGTTTAGGAACTTTCATGCAGGCGTGAGGTATGGAAAGAGGATTGCAATAATTGTATTGTTGGTTCCCTAACAGACCCTACTCTAGGGAAACAGGAAAACTTACTGACTAATCATACATTAATGTAAGTAGGAAAAGTAGCAAGGGTACCTACTTTTGCACAGCATAGCCGACTTGCTTTCTTTTGGGGAACAATCTTCTAGTGCCGGTACCAATTCTCTCAGGGTATCAAAGCCTTTCTGCAAGAAAGAGCAACTAACAGATGAACAAAAATAGTAACTCAAATAAAACATTTATTCTGGAAGAAATGAACATGGTCAGTACCATCAGCTCATCATGCTATATAGACAGTAGACAACCACACTTTCCTGCACAAAACAATCTACAGTGACTTGTAAAATATACACCACGAGTAATTTTGCATCAACTAATAATTTGACAAGATTTTCAGTGTTATAGTCAAATTACTTAAGAATATTTAATAATACCATGAAGGATATTATTTACTTCATAAGGAAATTAAAAAGTTATTATAGGCATAAAAAAATGACTTGTGTGGATAAGGTTCACTGTAAACCATTGTGAAATTAACATTTCTTCTGGAATAGTTTTTAACAGGTCCGTGTTTTTGAATCTTAAATAGAAATAGACAAGAGTCTATTTAAATCTACTTAATAAGATACATTAGTCATTTATTAACTAAAGATGTGACCTTTCAAATAATAAAATAAGCAGTCTTTCAGCAGCTGACCCACCTGTTGTATCCATCTTACCTGGAAGACCCATCGTTTAATTGTCATTTCTTACAAAGGATAACAGGCTCATGGACTACTGACCATATCTATTATCATTCCGGGAAAGGTCAAATTCCTGTTTGCATTGCCCAATGGCTGGAAAATGAGCTAATCTGTTTATAAATGACAACCACTCTTAACCATTGAAATACAGGTACTAAAACCCAATAACATTAACAAATAATTTGCAGATAAATTTTGTAACTATCGGCCAAATCGGCACGATGCAAACCTGTATTTTGTCACGGCGTTTGTATTCTGCCTTGATGTGAGAATCTCTCTTGTGCCTGGGAACTGGGTTTGCAGGACGACCACATTTGCGACCTTGTTTTGGCGAAGTTCCAGAGGAGGAACAGTTGCCATCCGAATTCTGTCTCGAGTTTCGATCATAGTGACCATTATTCACCTAGGACAAACAGAAACCAACATAAACATCCAATAGTTATATCACAGTATATATTGTAGTAATTTATTTCAAATTGACCATCCATCAAGGATTGTCCAGCCCTAAAATACCAAACACACTTTCAGACGAAAGGTATTTTATATATCATAACATGATTACCTTGTGATAATTTTCAATCAAACAAATCCTTTGAAAGGTGAAAGTCTTGTACACTAATACCATCGGCAAATATGGTAGAATTAAGTGAGTTAATTAGTGTTTAAATAATTCTTCAAGTTAAATTTAAACAATTACTATTCAAATGAAATGCATCTATACCTTATTTAGATTCAAACATGTCTATTTACTGCTATTAATACTGTTTATCACAAAGAATTTTGACACACTTGTGACAGTGACGATTTCTTTTCATTCTAATTGCTAAATGAACACAGAATATTGAGAGCCACTAACGTTTTCTCTTTGAATGATGTGTAGTGGACCGAATCTGCTTACGTTCTAGATAAAGGTCCAATTCAAGTTATAACAAAAATAGCAACTCCTATTAAGTTGAGTTGTTTCCCTTGTTCTATAATACATTAAATAAACAAGAACTCTGAAATAGGCTATATACCGCTTCGTGAGTCATAGAGTTTTCTGAAAAACACTTTAAGCTTATAAAGACATTTCATTGGTGGCTCCGAAACATCCATGCATTTCATTGGCCGACCTATTTATCGCGCGATGATGTCATACCTAGGTATAAAAGCTTTTGCACACAATATTTAATTTCTTGCCAGTTCAGCCGTCGATAGGAACGCACCCTCATGTGATCGTTCCATGTGCTTCAATCGCTGTGATTGTGCAAATTATGCTAACTGCATAGTTATTCCAATATTTGGATACTTTACAGTGACAGTGGTTGTCAATGACAAAAATCGCAGTGTTTTGATGAAGAATAACAAAGTAATTCAAAGAAGTCTTGTTGAATGTAGAACAATTGACCTGGACACAAAATTGCCGACAAGGAACCTGATCTTAAAATTTGCTAAATTCAAAGAAATCAAAAAAAGAAACATTACTTGAAGAAAAATAATAAATTAAATACCTTTAACTTTGTTGATATCTCCTTATCAAGCTGTGTAATGACATCGTTAATGGTATAAGTTGTTTCGTAATCGTCGACAACCTTCATCGTGGCTGTTGGTTCGCCTGATTGATACCGCGCGGGGCATATATATACCCATATCCCACAATGCATCGGCGATGGCTAAATTTAGCGTTGAACCCAAAGTAGATTTCCCACGAAATTGAACATTTTTTAAGTAAATGTTTTGAAAACATTGTCAGTTACTCGTAAATGAAGTTATATAACAATGCCATAATTACATTTCAGAAAATAGCAACGGAAAGAATGCTTATTTTGCCCCAACAAGCTGTGTTGTTGTAATGTAGTTCAAGATGGTGGACACGGTAAATGTTTGTTAGCAAGTTAAACCAAATATATAACTGATGATTGCACGAGCTGCTTATGTAACTAGTGTCGTAATATTTGAAATACTGTAGGACATCAGCATACAATTAACACCTGCTTAACGTGTATTAGATCTATAAAGCAGGAATACAGGTCAGGTAGACACTGACCATGTAACTAGCTAGAATATAGGTAGCCAGAATGAAGGAAATGTCGATTCTTCATTTTATTTACTCGTGCAAATATAAATAAGCAATGTTGACTGTGAAACTGGCAAAAGTGATGCGGAGAACTCAGTTAAATCGCCTCGTTCCTCATGACGTTATGTAATGAGTCGGACCGATGACCATTCGATCGGACGTCACGGTCGCTCCATAATTCCAGTGCTAGCTGGTTCGAGCCGGTTTTACCGAGTCAAATGTAAGCGTGCCTGTGTGTTGCACACACATTTTAAAGATGTATGTATACTCGGTTGGTAAATTATAGAAATAATTAAATGAAATGAAGAACAATTTTAAAGCAAACTTTACTTTCTCGAGATATTTATTTACCCTGTCTACCACAAATCGCGCGTCATCTTGGTTCACTACATTTAGTGGCCTAGAAACCATGAGTATTTTTAACGGAAATTAAACAGTCAAAAACAAGCCATATGCCTAATAATAATGAATTCACAGAGAGTTATCTATCTCATCTACACCTTCCTTTCCTATGATCACAGAATCATTCATCAGAGATCATTAACAGTGAACTTTAACTTCGGGTTTGTTTTTGTGTGTTTTCCTTGTTACAGACCTTTGCCCATTCCAGTGCCACATAAACAGACCACATCGACATGCTGCAATATAATTATATATTGTCCGAATGCCCTACTAAAAATGGACAAAATACAATCAAGTATATCAAACTTATCATACAGTGTAATAAAATATATACTGTAGTACAACACACTAGTGTTATATATACTGTTGTACAACACACTAGTGTTATATATACTGTACACAACACACTAGTGTTATAGATACTGTAGACAACACACTAGTGTTATATATACTGTACACAACACACTAGTGTTATAGATACTGTAAACAACACACTGGTGTTATATACACTGTAGTACAACACACTAGTGTTATAGATACTGTAGACAACACACTGGTGTTATATATACTGTAGTACAACACACTAGTGTTATATATACTGTAGACAACACACTAGTGTTATATATACTGTACACAACACACTAGTGTTATAGATAATGTAAACAACACACTAGTGTTATATATACACAACACACTGTGTTATAGATACAACACACACTAGTGTTATATATACTGTACACAACACACTACTGTGTTATATACACTGTAGTACAACAGACTGGTGTTATATATACTGTAGTACAACACACTAGTGTTATATATACTGTAGTACAACACACTAGTGTTATATATACTGTAGTACAACAGACTGGTGTTATATATACTGTAGTACAACACACTAGTGTTGTATATACTGTAGTACAACACATTAGTGTTATATATACTATAGTACAACACACTAGTGGTATATATACTGTTGTACAACACATTAGTTTTATATACAACACATTAGTGTTATATATACTATAGTACAACACACTAGTGGTATATATACTGTTGTACAACACATTAGTTTTATATACACTGTAGTACAACACACTAGCGTTATATATACTGAAGACAACACATTTGTGTTATATATACTGTTGTACATCACACTAGTGTTATATACACTGTAGTACAACACACTAGTTTTATATATACTGTAGACAACACACTAGTGTTATATATACTGTTGTACAACACATTAGTGTTATATACACTGTAGTACAACACACTAGTGTTATATATACTGTAGACAACACATTAGTGTTATATACACTGTAGTACAACACACTAGTGTTATATATACTGTAGACAACACACTTATGTTATATATACTGTAGTACAACACATTAGTGTTATATACACTGTAGTACAACACACTAGCGTTATATATACTGTTGTACAACACATTAGTGTTATATATACTGTTGTACAACACATTAGTGTTATATACACTGTAGTACAACACACTGGTGTTATGTATACTGTAGTACAACACACTAGTGTTATATACACTGTAGTACAACAGACTGGTGTTATATATACTGTAGTACAACACCCTTGTGTTATATATACTGTTGTACAACACATTAGTGTTATATACACTGTAGTACAACAGACTGGTGTTATATATACTGTAGTACAACACACTAGTGTTATATATACTGTTGTACAACACACTGGTGTTATATACACTGTAGTACAACACACTAGTGTTATAGGTACTGTAGACAACACACTGGTGTTATATATAATGTAGTACAACACACTAATGTTATATATACTGAAGTACAACACATTAGTGTCATATACACTGCAGTACAACACACTAATGTTATATAATACTGAAGTACAACACATTAGTGTCATATACACTGCAGTACAACACACTAATGTTATATATACTGTAGTACAACACACTTGTGTTATATATACTGTACTCTACTGACACAACCGTATGTTAGGGCTCACACTGTCCTCCTTTTCGTCAGATCACAAGCTATGATTCCTATGTTTTGTTATATCACCGTTTTTCTCTGGCTGTATCATAATTAACGAATATTTCTATTTATTATTGGATTCGGTACATCACTTCCTCCTTTGTTGACAATAGATTTTGTTTACATACATTTGTTTTCTTTGTGTTCTGTTCTTATTTACCTAATTTTGTTTACATTTATTTTCCTTTGTTATTTATTTATGTTACTTCTATTTTTAGCTTGAAAGGAAAATTCCGGTTTTAGTAAACCTGTTGTTTTAAAGGAAACTAACACTTGACCCTTACTAATGGAATTAGATCAAGGCCATTTAATCTCCTTTGTGTTAAGGTGTATGTTTTGATTAGCTGTGTTAACGATACTGTTAGTTTTGTCTTTCTGTTGTTTTTATCAGTGAACGTGGAGGTATATTTTGACTTTGTCTATTGAACGGGTGGTTTATTGTCTTTTTTATTGTATAAATTTTACTTAAAGGCCTCTTGACAACAGAATGTTCTCAAAAGAATTGGAGTTTTTTTTAACAAAGCAAGGTAGACGGGTCATAAACAATTCATTTATTATATCCAGTTTTCATTTGTGTCCTTTAGTTTGGCATTTTACAAGTATGAAAAGTGTGAGAGAGATGGAAAACATTCAGAAGGGTGCACTGAGATGTGTTGCGTGTGGTTTTTATCTCACCTGTTAATCCTCTTTTAAAAACTTTAAATACTACTCTTTTTCATGTCAAGAGTCTGAGAGATATGGATGATAAAGCTTCAAAATACTACCAAAGCTATCCCCTGAATACACACACGATTTAGTAAGATTTTTGAAAAAATCTGCTTATGATTTCAGGAGAGACTACACAGTCAGCATTTCTTGTATCAACACTTCAAGGTATGGACAGAACTCGTTCTCTTATGAGCCTGTCGGGGTGTGGAACAGCCTCCCAAATGAATTGCGGAGATGTGAATACTTCCCAGAATTCCGGAGTCTGATCCACACCTAGGAGGGTTCCATTTGCCCTCTCGGTACAAAGATAAATTGGTTGATCACTTTTCGCTGTTATACTTAAAATTGTTTTTAATGCTGCTTAGTCTGGTCAAGGATTTTAGTCGGTAGGGAGTGGCCCAACCACCTGTTCTTTGACCTTCAGTAATATTGTTGTTTTACTAAGATGTGTTTTCACTATTGTACCTCTCTTGCTTTATGTGTTTTAAAACTAGGTTTTTTTTTATTTTTCTTACTCAAAACTCTTTTTACTTCCAAAACAAGTTCTTGGTTATTTCCTGATTTTTGCCAAAATCAATTTCTAAATGAAGTGTTTTGTGATTACAATTTAATCTTGTATCACCGTGTCTTGTTTCCCCGTGTCTTGTATCTTGTTTCCCCGTGTCTTGTATCTTGTATCCCCGTGTCTTGTATCTTGTATCCCCGTGTCTTGTATCTTGTGTCCCCGTATCTTGTATCTAGTATCCCCGTGTCTTGTATCTCCGTATCTTGTATCCCCGTGTCTTATATCTTGTATCCCCGTGTCTTGTATCTTGTATCCCTGTGTCTTGTATCTTGTTTCTCCGTGTCTTGAATCCCCGTGTCTTGTATCTTGTATCCCCGTGTCTTGTATCCCCGTGTCTTGTATCCCCGTGTCTTGTATCCCCGTGTCTTGGATCTTGTATCCCCGTGTCTTGTATCTTGTATCCCTGTGTCCTGTATCCTCGTGTCTTGTATCTTGTATCCCCGTGTCTTGTATCTTGTATCCCCGTGTCATGTATCTTGTATCCCCGTGTCTTGTATCCCCGTGTCTTGTATCTTGTATCCCCGTGTCTTGTATCCCCGTGTCTTGTATCTTGTATCCCTGTGTCCTGTATCCCCGTGTCTTGTATCTTGTATCCCCGTGTCTTGGATCTTGTATCCCCGTGTCTTGTATCCCCGTGTCTTGTATCTTGTATCCCTGTGTCCTGTATCCCCGTGTCTTGTATCTTGTATCCCCGTGTCTTTATCCCCGTGTCCCGTGTCTTGTATCCCCGTGTCTTTTATCCCCGTGTCCCGTGTCTTGTATCCCCGTGTCTTGTATCTTGTATCCCCGTGTCTTGTATATAGTCACTGGTGTTCTGATGTAAAT